TAAGATTAAAATGTTCCTAGCCCTTAGGGGCGGCCCAAACCTCAAGGTCTTCGACGGCTCGTGTGGCGAGCGAAGAAGAGAGAGTGTGAGAGGGACAGAGAGAGAGAGAGAGAGAGACAGTGTGTGAGAGGGACAGAGAGAGAGTGTGAGAGGGACAGAGAGAGAGAGAGAGTGAGAGGGACAGAGAGAGAGAGTGAGAGGGACAGAGAGAGAGTGTGAGAGGGACAGAGAGAGAGAGAGAGTGAGAGGGACAGAGAGAGAGAGAGAGAGAGGGACAGAGTTTCCCGACACAAACCAATAAACTATTTATTTCTCCCCTTCGCGGAGGATCGCCACTCGGAGCTCCTCCTCAGTGTCGGTGATCACTGACGGATCCCTTTCCGTTCCCGTTCGGCGTTTGTGTCGGTGAAGGGTTTCCCACCGAATCCCCCGACATTACCGGTGCGGCTCCGGGCCCGGGTCCGGTCATCGCCGTCTAATGCCGGAGAGCGTCGGACCCGACGGCCGTTCACCGCTTCTCCGTCTCTCCGGCGGCCGTCGTGGGTTTGAGGGGAATCACCGTTTGCTGTGATTTGCTCTGTGGGGTCCTGTGGCTCAGGGGTGAGAGCACTCGCTGTGCAGCGAGAGAACCCGGGTTCAATCCCCGGGGGGTCAGGGCCGGACCTCGGGCGAGTTTCCTGAACCCACACACGGCCCTAATAACGATCCTCTCCGCAACAAAAACAATCGCAAATGGGGTCACTTTCAACCCACGACCGCGTGTGGGACTGACGCCGCTGCGCGCAATCGGCCGCCGCGTTCGCCCACAAATGCACAGTCACTACACTCTGCGGTCTGTGCCGTGAAGCGCTTCGGGGGACGTCGAGAAGACGTGAAAAGCGCTGTATCAAATGCAATGATTATTATTATTATTATAATTATTATTACTTGGGGTACAACTCCCACATAAACAGCTGAGTACAACTGAACTGCCCCCAGAGGCGGCGCTGCACTACTGCACCCACAATGTCCTCAGTAATAACAATGCAAAAACCGTATTTATATCATTGATATTAACCCAAAGGTTCAGTGTGAACTGTGTGATATAAACCACAATCTTTATTGTACAGCGACACAGACTATGAAGGTTCAGCCTCGTGGCCATCACCGCCAAACACAGGTCACGGCTGAGGGTTCCCTCCTCATCAATCCGTCACCCGACAGATCCTCAGAGGGTCACCGTTTTTGCCGCCGTCGTTTTTACAGGGACTGAAGTAAGGATAAAGCTTCTCAGTGAAAGTGTGGGTGAAAGTGTGGAGATGAGACATGTTGTCGGCGTTGTAAAAGGTCACCTCTCCCCCCTCATAGTCCATGAACACTCCCACCTTCCCGTTTCTGTCCCTCAGGGACAGGAGAGTGGAGGGAGAGGTCAGAGCTTTATATTCATCCCCGTTTCTCAGCCGCAAAACCCAGAATCCGTTCCCTGGTGACGCTTTGATCTTTCCTTTCCTGTTGACGGACTCTCGGGCCAATCCCACTGCCCACTCTGTCTTATTGCCCACCTGCACCTCCCAGTAATGTCTCCCCGATGTGAATCCCTCAGACCCCAAGACTATGCGATATTTACTAAACCTCTTGGGAC